TACTATCGTCTGTCTTTCTAGATTTCTTCGGCCTGTTTTTTTGTCGATCTGACTACTGCCTGGCGCTAAAGCCGCTAGAAGTAACTTGTGCGCACAAAATGTTCATATCGGTTCCATACGAATATCACCCCTGAATTTTTTAGCGGCCCCTATTTTCAATCAGAGGACTAGGCTTAAACCAAAAATTCCTGGAGCAGTTTATTTGATAAGAAGTTGGAGACATTTTTTTTCTGCGGTTAGTGGTATATACTACTATACCATATGGTTAGTGGCTGTACTCAGATCGACGAAAAAAAAGCCGATTACATCTAGAAAGTCATCCGATAGTATTTTGCGGTAATGATAGTATTTGTGTGGTATTCGTTGGTAGGTTTCTAGCAGCTCGATAAATAGAGATATTTTTTTATATTCCGCCAGGGTACCTAGCAAATAGAGAGTAAAGTCTCAATAATGTGGAGGCAAAATTGCCGCTGAAGTGGAAGTATAAATTACCCCGTGCTTCTCAACGAGCTTGAGGCCATCATCGGAAAACAAGAAAGCACTAATTGTAGATATATTAGATTATATATAAATTATTTGCATATTACAAGACACAGCAAAATCATCAGAGTGACCATGCACGTTTGAGGTGTCACGGTCACCCAGTTTTAGTTATGTTCCACATAAACGAAATATGTAGAAAATTCCTGACAGGAATTTTTCGAAGTGCAGGAGACAGGTCCTAACAATATACCGGAAACTCTCTTTCGACATCAAAATATATTGAAAAGTATACAACAAGTATATATCGTACACAAATTAAATATCATCCATATCGCATTGTCGATACAATATGAACAGTCTTAATCCTAATCAAGTTAATCATCAATACAATGGCTCCTGACACTAACCAAATAGTATATACTATTGGTTAGTGCTTCTGAGAAGAAAAGGGGAAAATTCGTTGCAATTGAAGTAGTAGTAGTAATAATGCATTTAACTGCGTTAGTCTTCAAACTCTACAAATGCTAATGGATTATGAACACATTCCCACGCAATATACTGACTGGATTGTCAATTTCTTTTCGTCTAGATTCCTAAAACTGGGTAACTTCAGTAAATAAATTAATGGTGGGTTGCCTCAAGGCTCCTGTCTCTCACCTCTACTTTTCAATCTGTACACCAAAAAGACTGCTTCAAATCAATGATTCACATACGTCCATTATTCAATTTGCTGATGACTTTGAAATCATCCCAACATAAATGATGCTAGCAAAAACTTACAGGTAAAGATCAACGACTTTCACCTTCTCTGTCAAGATCTAGGCCTTAATTTCAACCCCAGCAAATCCTCAGTTATGTTTTGCAGTAAGGGACGACGTGATAACATCGCAGTTACATGCAATAATATCACTTTCCAAATAAAGGAGTCAATTACCTTCTTAGGCAGGGTCATTAGTGCCAACATGTCAGACAAACTGTACATTGCAAAAATCAGGGACAAATCAGACAAAAGTGAGCTTTTGTTGCATGCTGTAACTACCATCAAAGCGGGACTCAAACCCAAGGTTTCGTCCAACATCTTCAAATCCTTCATCAGATCTCAGCGGGAACATGCTGAATCTAAACCTTAGCAACAGCAAGTCTCTTAACACTGCACAGACGGACTGCCTTCGCCGTTGCGTGGGTGTGCCTCTGACTGGTATTTTACCTCCCAAACACAGAGCTAGAATCCTCACAGTCAGAGAACTACTGAAAGTAAAGTCTCTAAACCCGACCTTGTTTTATGATGTTATTAAATCCACTGCAAAGACTGCCGACACAGCTGTGTACCAAGAATATAGTGATCTTTTCGACTATTATAATGAAGCCAAGAAGTACAATCATAGTCCCAAAGCCTTAATTTGTCTGTCAGTCTTTGACAGGAAAAAAACGGACATCTCAAACGAAGAATGCAATGCGATATATCAAGCTAAGCTTGAAAAATGGGTGTCAGGTGGATGGAACATTCTTTCCACTGATGCATCCATCTGGTGGTAAGACAGGCATAGGTATCTTAGATTACCCTAGTAACTTTAGCTATATGTTCAGGACTGAAAATAGTTCCTCATCTATATTAACGGCAGTTAAGATATCTAATATAAAAAGATACAGTAAAACTGTAATTCTCTGCGATAGTCAAGGCACCTTAAAGGCTCTGAAGAGAAATGAATCAAATTCATACTTAACAGACGAAATCCACCTCAACATGGACAATTCATTCACGAGAAACTTTATTGTGCACTGGATACCCGGTCACAAGAACATTGCCATTAATGAGAAGACTGATGTCCTAGCCAAATCAACCACTAATGCAAGCAAACTATTTAATTTACCCATAACATTCGATGAAGTAATAAGAAAACTTAAAATAAAAGTTCAGACGGATTGGAACAATGAGTACAAGGAAATATCAAACACCAAAGGAATTTATTTTGCGTCAATTTACAATGAAATTCCAGTCAAACCATGGCACTGGGCTCTCGACTGGAGTGCAAAAAACATAAAGGTCATAAATAGACTGTTAATTAATCGAACCTATGACGTTTTTTTACGCAAAATCAAAGCCAGAAACACCAACATTTGCGAAGTTTGCAACGTTCTCGACAATGCGGAACATGAAATCTTCTCCTGCCAACAACATGGAAAAAATATAAAATTGTTTATCGCTTTAAAGATCTTAAGGAGCTGTTGCTCTGAGGAGCCTCTTTTTCTTTTGAGAATTGGCCAAATTTATTAATTAGGCTAATTTGGAGTTGTGAATCGAAATACACTGGATTTTATTCAGGTCGGGCTAACTCGGTTCGCCAACGGAAGTCACCTTGAGGAGCAAACTTCTGTTGCTCCTACTTTCTGACGCAACCTTCTGCTGCCTTCCAATTTCGGGGGAGCTATTAAATACAAAAAAACAAAAATCAAGTTAAATTTAATTTTAAAAATGGCTTCGACTAGTGTCTCAACAGCTGTTGGTGAGTTGATGGAGAACACACAATTCCCTGTCCGTTTATTTAAATACATACCTACACCTACACATACACATCAATCCATTTCACCACTATATATTTTGTTAAACTCTTACACACGACCACACTTTAAACTAAGCATCATATTGTTTAAATTATAAAAATATATACCAATGCAACACCATGCATGGTCTCACTAACAACCATCGATAGTCAAGGCAATATCGACAGCCCCATCATCGAACTAAAGTACCTGGTCAATGCGGACTCATCGTCGTGCGACCGTCCAATTTCGCGGCAGCGATTAAATAAAAATAATCTAGTTACATTTAATGTTAAACATGGCTTTTAAATGCATACTATGGTTTGCACAGGAGCATGTAAATTTCAGAATATCAGAGTTCGAGTCACTTGCTAAAATGTTCGGCCTTCAGTTTCGACTAGTGTCTCAACAGCTGTTGGTGAGTTGATGGAGAACACACAATTGCCTGTCCGTTTATTTAAATGAATTTTATATTGGCAGAAACCATTTTGGATAGTGGAGTTTCCCAGCGAAAAGACTGCCTTACAGTATGCCTCCCGCTCCGTTGCCCTACGTGCTATATTCGAGCTATATTCCTACGCAAATACCCTGCCAGATTTTCACAACAGACTTCGCTCTCACGTGGATACGCACCACAATGAGCTTGCGCGACACTTCAGTAGCGATAGTAGCTTTAAAATCACTGTCGAGACTTACAATAAGCACTTTAGCCAGCGGGAAAAGGTTGAGAAGATTGAGACGATGGACTACTTACCCATCGAAGGGGCTGTCGATCTGAAAAACCCTCGGGTTGAGTTGTGGTACCTCGAATTTTGGGGCTTGGATCCAAAGGCAGTGCCTCCCGTTCCCGAGGACATTCTTTTTGGACGTCTTCTGGCCCAGGGTCAGCGACATTTGATCAAAGATCTCTCTTTGAAGAAGCGCAAATTCATCGGGAACACCAGCATGGATGCGCAGCTAAGTCTGCTTATGGCCAACCAGGCTATGGTTCGGGACGGCGACTTGGTGTTTGATCCTTTCGTCGGTACGGGCTCACTGCTGGTAAGCGCGGCCAAGTTCGGTGGGTATGTCCTGGGAGCTGACATTGACTACATGATGGTGCATGCGCAATGCCGTCCCAGCCGCATATCCCAAAGGATTCGAGAGAAGGACGAGAGCATTCGAGCGAACTTAAAGCAATATGGGTGTGCGGATCGCTACATGGATGTGTTAGTAGCCGACTTCTCGAATCCGCTCTGGCATCCCCGCCTTTCATTCGATAGCATAATAACCGATCGTAGGTAGAGATTATGCTAAATGTCGCCTAGCATCCAGCTAAACTTAAATATGTACTATGTTTTAGCTCCATACGGAATTCGCGAGGCAACGGAAAAAGTGAAAACAAAAAAGAGTGGGAAAGAGGACACACGCAGCGAGGACATGATCCACTATCCATCCACTTCGCACTACTCGCTGCAGAGCTTGTACTGCGATTTGCTCGAGTTTTCTGCAAAGCACCTGAAACTTGGAGGACGCCTCGTGTGCTGGCTTCCCTTCCATCGGTAAGATCATTGAATAGATAGATTGGCCAAACTAAATCAAAAACGTCGCCCACGCAGAGAGGACTACGATGAGGAAATGCTGCCACATCACAAGCACTTGCGGCTGGTGGCCAACTCCGAGCAGCCCTTAACTGGCAACACTTCCCGTCGCCTACTAACCTATGAAAAGAGTTCGGAGTACAGCCATTCAGAGGCTTTGGAGTCCCGAAAAACGTTTGTAAATGCGCCCTCGGAGGACTTCAGGGATCGCTACTTCAACAACGCTCTGGAGTCTCGCAAGGATCGCCGAATGCGCAAATCAGAACTACGCGAGCGCGGACGCCTGGAAATGGCCAGTCGGGGAAAGATTCCCACTGACGCACGCGCGAAGAAATGCGACTTGAACAAGGCCCGTTTCGCCTAGCAGCCAAAGCTCATATTTACATTGAATATATATTTTATGAGATATTTTTTCTTTTTTATTTGTATCACATTCTGTTAATTTGTGTTCCGTGTCACTGCATCTGCCTGCTCCGCTAGACGACACTTGAAAATGTTGGCAAAACTGCTGAGAAAGGCGTTAGTGGCCTCCGGGATGCCGATATGCCTGCCGAGCTGTTTGCTGAGAGAGGTTACACCTTTGCCCTCGATACCACAGGGGATGATGTGTTCAAACCATTTCAGATCAGTACAGCAATTCAAGCCAATTCCATGGGTGGTGACATAACGAGAGCCGTGCACGCCAATGGCACAAATCTTGTGGTCGCCCACCCAAATGCCTGTGTCCTGGGTAGTCGTAGCATCTGGAATACCAAGCTGCCGACATGTCTCTATCACCGTGCGCTCCAGGGAGGCTACATACCAGCGGATGCTCGGCTTGAATTGCCGCAGGTGCAGTATGGGGTACGCCACCAGCTGGCCAGGTCCATGGAACGTGATCAAACCCCCACGATCCGTACGATGGAACTCTGCTCCCAGTTTTCGCAGCCGATTTTCGTCCTCTTTTGTATAGTTCTTGGTCCGAATGCCTATTGTGTATACAGGATCGTGCTCCTGGAGAACAATATAATTGCGAAATTCAGCGAAATCGTCCAGGTTTTGTGCAGACTTCGCCAAAAGCTGCTGCAACTTCAGTCCGCTGGTATAGCAGTGGCGTCCAGCACGCACCACGGTCACGAGCGGTTGCCTTACGCACATAATATGATTATTTATTATTTATTTTCATTTTTTAAATTTACAAATTAGGGTGCACATGCATTTGAACAAACATCGATTAATTGAATCGATACTTTGCCGGGCAAAAAAATATTTACTCGAACTAAAAATACAATTAACCGAAAATTTGTATAATTAAAATTAAAGTAGTGAATTTAAACGACTTAAAAGCAAGCACGTGGGGAACATAACCTCTACGCCAGGAGCAAAGCTGTAACAAGTTACATATTTCGACGTGGCGATTTCCCCCTTGTAAAGGCGGGTGGCCAAATAATTCCCCCCTACCCAAGCGTAGAGCAGTAACTTAAAACCTAAAAAAAAAAAAAAAAAAAAAAATTAAAGTAATGAAAAAACCAAACAATGTCACTGTTGCTTTTTTTTAAATTGCGATTTGCAGATGACATTCACGTGTGCTTTTAGTTTTGGTGGGAACATATTTTTGTTGTACGTTTGACGTTGAATTGTTTCTCTCTGGTCCGAAATGGAGATATATGTATATATAAATATTTGTATATAAAGGAAAAAAGCATATTTATATAATAATATTATATATGCTTACAAGCAGCTTGTAAATCGGACTTTTAACATTAATTAATGGAAATAAGGTATACTGCTTGAAAAGCAAATAACGTAACATTCCATTGCCACTACGTTACAGCCGTAAGTTATGATTCGTACATCATTCCAATTTTTGATTTATTCCAGCAGTTTTTCTAGACCTTTAGTTCGTTTATTTTGTAAACAATCCAGAAGTTTTGAAACTATCCAATAAAACACTAGTCTCTGGGCTAAGAGTCTTAGCAAATGATTATTGTAGATCACTGTAATTACACACAAACAAAGTATGAAACCTGAAAAATGTTAGAGAAAATAAATTGTAGGATATAGTGGCCCTTAATTTTTGTAAGTAATGAGGATAATGAGAGCTGCAAGTAACATTTACAAACATCATTACATATCCATTGAACTCAAGGCGTTCAAATGTTTAGAAGATCGGAGTTAAATGGGTTAAGTTCATTATGGTCGTCGGTATATTTTGAAAATGGAAAGGTATATTTCAGTATATTTCTGCTGGTCTGACTTCATTGAGAGTTCCGCGGTCACACTGCTTTGCAATAAGCGATAAAAAAAGCACTCACACAGTCACACGCGTTGGACATTATTTGTGAGTTTCGTGTAAGAAGACTTTGAAAAAGGCACATCAGATCAGCATATTTATTGATTGTTTGGATACCTCAGAACTCGGCCCTCACTGGGAGTGCAGTAGCGCGTAAATGTTTCGTCAGGCGAAGGACACGCGTAGACGAATGAAATACCAATAGGCGATCGCAAAGCTGAGTGTGTGAAAAAAGCACAGGCTCGAGAGCACGCTTCTGCGTTTACGTCGCGGGATATGGCGACACGTCAGGATGACCGCGGCGATGAGATTGGTGGGGGCAGTGAGCCTGCCTCCTATCATATTTTACCGCACACGGAGGAAATGGCGAATTATTTGGCCCATCAACAACAACAGCAGCAGCATCAGCATCAAAACTTTCTGCTGCATCAGCAACATGGTCAAGCTCCCCCCGGACCCATGATGTGGACACAGCCACCTCCGCACTTGGGTGGCCCGTATCCACCGCATCTCCAGCAGCAACAGCCGCAGCCGCAGCCACCACCGCAGCCTCCACATGTGTATAATGAATATCTGTATAACCTGGCGTATTCGGGGCAGCCTGGACAGCCCGAGACTTACTCGGTCCTGCCCGTCGGGCATGGGAACTTTCTCAAAGTGTATCACTGTCCCGAGAATCCCGTCAACGATGGTACCGCTCCCCACTTCACGCATATCAACATGGCATCACTGAACCACCAGCATCCACATCACCAAGGCCCACCACCGACACCCCCCCAGCCAACGCCTCTTTATGAACTATTCGCCGCCGGTCCCTTGCTGCCGAAGCCCGAGATGAATATTATCGGAGCTGCGGCAACCCAGCCTCAACCATCACAGCTCCAGCCTCAGCCTCAGCCTACCCATACTAATCCACAACCACCTCCGCCCCCTCCTCCGCAAGTCCTCCATCCTCCAAGTAGTGCAAATCTGCTCATCAATAACCTGGTGAACAACTGGTCGCCCAATCTGACAGGAGGAAGCTACATACAATTCGGGGACGAGATTAATGAAAACGCCGCCAGCCAGATGGACCAGCCGCAGCCGCCTGCACACCATCAGCAGCAATCGCAGGCCACGCAGCAGCAGCCCCAGCAGCAGCCTAAGCATCAGCCGCAGAAGGAACAATTGAGCAAACCCGTAAGCCCTCTGCCGACGAACGAAAAGACCGCCAAGTCGTTGAAAGTACTGCCTCTGGCCACTGAAAGCATCTCACCAACTGGCAGCATCAACAAGTCAACTATTGTGGTGTCTGGTCAGCCCGATGGCAAGAAGCGCATAGTTGCCGAGGTTAAGCCCATGCCGATGTCATACTCGGATGTCCTCAGCAAGGGTACACAGTCGAGCGGCGCAAGCGGCGAGACGCGTGCAGCTAACGGATTGGACTATGGAAGTCAACAGCAGCAGCAGCAGCTGCGACGTCAGGGTAAAGAGGAGGGCGTCGGAGGTCGGGAGTTGCGTACGGCGAAACGTTCTCCACTGCATGATGCAAAGGATACGCCGCTTGTGCTGGCCTCGAATGCTGGCCATGCGCATGGCAACCGTGGAAAGAAGCGTGGACAGTCAAATCACGCGGGGCAGCTAAAGCAACAGCAGCAGCCACAGATTCAGCCACAGACACAGCCACAGCAGGCTGCAACGCTGCAGCCCGCTCAGATCAAATCGAATAAAGCCACCAACCAGCAGGAGAAGAAGCGGCCTTTGCAGCCGAGGAGCAACGTTAGGGCTAATGAGCAAAGGACAACCGCCTCATCGATTCCCGCCAGCAACGACAATGGCAACGGCAGCGCCCAGAACCACACAAACAACAGCAATTCAACAACAAATCCTGCCATCAATCCAGGCCTTTCGTCCCGCAAGCCGAGCAGCAATAGCAGCAAAGGCAACGCCAATGCAAATCAGTCGAACTCCACTGCCTCAACAACACCAAATTCTGGCAGCAGCAGCAGCAACAGCAACAACAACACAAACAACAACAATATTGGTTCCTCTTCGTCCAAACGATATTCCTCCTCGAATACGAATCTGAACTCAAATAACAGCGCTGGCTATTCGTACTCCTCGAAGCGGAATCGAAGCAACGCCGCCTACTCCTCCTCCAACTCGCCCTCCCATGCCAGCAGCTTGTCCAGCAACAGGAACTATGAGCTGGCCAAGCGAATTCTACACACTTGGTGGATTTACACTCTGAAATTGCTCACCTGGCTGTTCTACCTGGTCTACGACATTGTTGTGCTGGGCTTCAGCATGGCCTATGATCGGTTGGCAGTGGCTTATGTGGCCGGTCTGGCCTATGCGCGGCAGCTGCACAAGGAGCTAAAGCAGAATTCCGGCAAGCCGAGCATCTGGTGGCGCAACTACTGGCGACGTTTCGATGCCCGTTTCGCCAAAACTTCGCGTTGGGCCTTTTGGAGGCGATTCTACAAACGAAAACCACCTGAACCCACCTCCGAATCGTTCAAGACGGGGCGCCTGCCACAGACAGGCGAGGAAGCGATGTACTCGCTGCTTAATTGTAAAGGAAAAGATGCATACAGGTGAGCCACAGTAAAAAGTTTTAGCAGCCAGCAGATCACTTTGCCCTTAACACAATTTTCCTTTGTTGCAGCATATTGGGAGTGCCGCCAGACAGCTCACAGGAGCAGATCCGTAAGCATTACAAGAAAATTGCCGTGCTGGTGCATCCGGATAAAAACAAACAGGCTGGCGCGGAGGAGGCCTTCAAGGTGCTGCAGCGAGCATTTGAATTGATCGGGGAACCGGTACGGTTTGCAAACCACTAAATCCCACCCTGATGATATTAAACTAAGTTTATTTGTCCAGGAGAACCGCCTTCTCTATGACCAAAGCATCGCAGAAACTCTGCACGCCGAGAAGGCCTGGACGGAGCTGCATGATCTGCTGTCCCAACTGCAAACTAAAATGGCTGAGGCAGCCAACACTATAAGGTAAGTGAATGATAGAACGATAAATTGTTTTGACTCTTGTGATCATGAACCCCCCTTATGTATTTGTGTATGTAGATGCAGCACCTGTGCCCAGCGCCACCCTCGCAAACTAACCGAACGTCCTCACTATGCGGCTCGCGAATGTGCCTCCTGTAAGATACGTCACTCTGCCAAGGATGTAAGTATCCCTCCAAAATCCCTCCGCCGAGTGACAAATATTTGTGTCAGTAACTTTATTTTGTGTGTGTTTCTTGGGGATACCAGGGGGATATCTGGGCCGAGACAAGCATGATGGGTCTGCGATGGAAATATTTGGCTCTGATGGATGGCAAGGTGTACGACATAACAGAGTGGGCCAATTGCCAAAAGGGTGCCCTGTCCCACTTGGAGCCCAATTCGCATATGGTTCAGTATCGCATAGTTCGCGGGGCCCAGCAGCAGCCGCCATCGCAACAGCCGCAACCACACCACCACCCTCAGCAGCAGCAACAGCACCCACACTCGCACCCGCACCACGATCGTGGTGCGCACCATCCCGGCGTTGGTGTCAGCGGCGTTAGGTAAGCAGCTCCCTGGAATAGCCCGAAGCATTTAAATGATAACTGGTCCCTCTTCCAGCGAGGCCACGCTGCACGAGTTCTTGGACAATTTGTACAGCGGCCAGCATCCGGGTGCGCACAATGCCTTTGCGGGCAACGCACGCCGTCGGGCGCGTCGTAACTGAGTCCAAAATCTCCAATCCACAATTATAATCCATGCCCACGCGTGTACATCGTCGGCTGCGTGGTTTTTTACTCACCTGTACACCTATGCGCCAGCTGCAACATCAGAAGCAGAAGCACCAGAAGGCGCAGCAGTGGCCGAGCAAGTACTCATCTTCTTCCCTTCTCGTCCCACGATGGCTGGCAACACAGTGGCAACACCCATCCCATCAACAGTTGAACAGCCATATTAAACACTTCTCTGTATAGTTTACATTCAAAAGATGATCCTGAAAATGTTTTACTTGTCACGTAGAATCGTACAATTGCCTACCACTTAGATAACGTCTATGTTTTAGCCTCTAATTCTACATCTACTTCTACTTGTACTTGTACTTCTAATTCTTCCTATCATTTATGGACAGCTTAACACACGACTAGCTCGTAGCCAACAAGTTTAGCTCTAAGTTCTAACTATATTAGCGCACCTCCCCCTCCCCCCACGGTGGCCGCCCATACGTTTCTGCAGCGTACAGCGAGGAGGTGGGAGGTGGGAGGCACACATGTAAAATCTAACGCATCCAAATTAAACATAAATGTTAATAAAACTGTATTGAACGCCTAAATCCTAAATCCTCCAAGTCTACATGGATTCCAGCAAATGCAAAGACAAATGAAAAGATTATTTTGTTTAGTTTTTTTATTGAAAAAATGTTCCACTCCGTTTTCGCCTAATTTTCTATGTTGTTCTTACGTTTGTTTCGTAATGTGGTTTGTTTCTTTTTCTGGTTTTTTGTATGATAATAATTACATGGGTAGAGGGGATGGGACAGGAGCTTTTCACATACTCCTAAATGCCCCACAAAAAATGGTTTCTGTTTCTCGATTATAAAATGTCTCGAATACTCGTATGTTAGAGCCTGGATTGCGTGTAAGTGTGCCGGACTTACAGTCTACACCAATCGATCGTTTCGCACATCGGCATCATATGTTTATAATAAAATAGTTCAAGATTATGTGGGGCTAGTCGTCGATTCTTTCTTTTATACTCGGAACGAATGTACTTCGTACTCGATTTCTCGGTTTTACTTTGCCCCAATTAAATCCCTTAATACTCGGGTATGCTTTAGTCTAGCGTGGTTTCTGGTTCTGGTTCGGGTTTGGGTTTTGGTTCTGCCTGACTTAAATAGTGGTTGGCTATTTTGCTTGACTTTTATTTGTAACAATTATTGTGCCTAGAGTTAAATTACACTTGTTTTCTGATCTATACATTTACAAAACTCGTCGTTGACTGCGACACCAGCAAACTCTCTCTTCTTCTCGTTTTTGTTATTATTATTTATAAATGTCTATGTGTGTGTGTTTTTGTTTTGTTTTTCCTTGCAGATGCGTGTGTGTGTTTGCGTGTGTGAATATATAATATAAATTAAATTCTAGCCTTAAATAGTTCATTTCCATGCTCCTCCACACACACAAATACAATTTATTAAACTTGAATGTTGCGTTTAGTTAACAAATTGTTTACGCGCAGGGCTTCCGTTTGGTTCCTTCCTTTTGTTGTTGATTTCTTCTGTACTTATAATATGTAGAAAGCTTTGTACAACTAAAGTATATGTGTGTGTGTGTGTTTGTGTGTGTTTAAAAGAAAATAAGCAACAAAATATTGTTTGTATGTATTGTACATACTCGCATGTAATGTATGTATGCATAAGTGTGGGATCTCTCTGATTTTTCCTATACATTTGATTATGGGATGCATAAATAGGTATGCCTGGCCGCATACTCTCAGCATGACCGTGTGGCCGTGGAGTGGGTTGGGGTGAATGTTGAGTGTTGAGTGGAGAATACCTGTCTGTATGCGTATACGTACGCATAAGTCAAACATGCCCATAGTCAGACTATTGGGAATTTTTCCATTACTCGAGGCATTGCTCCAGAATGTGTCCAGGTGTGTGTGGGTGGTTTTTATTTGTATTTGTGTGTGGATGAGAATGGGAGAAAGTGACGTGACGAGACGTGTGACGTATGAAGTGGTAATGACTTGGGGAGCTCCAACCTCCCCCCTGCCCAGTTCCGAGGGTAGCTCCCAGCGCTGCTGCCAGGACTTTGCCCTGTCCTAGGCTCTGTGCTGGCGCCTCCCCGCTTTACCCCGATATTATTTCTGCGTCTTCCGCTGCTTCAGGTCCTGGGAAGCGTCGTCCAGCAGCTTGGTGGCGTATCCGTTTGTCAGCAGACCGTTGGGCCCTGCTCCTCCCTTGTGGCCACTGCCGTTCTGCGTCGTCGTCGACGCCGGCGCATTGCCGTTGGCCAGCTGCTTGCCGTATCCGTTGCTCAGCCCGTTCGCATGGCCGTTGGTGAGGGGCGCCACGCTGCCGTTGGCCTTCGACACCGGTGTCACTGTGGCGGCCGTCGGCTGTGGCATGGCCAGGTCATCATGGGCATTGATACTCTTGCAGTAGCCGTTCGGCTTTGCGTGTCCGTTGGCCAGCAACGCATTCTTTTTCTGAAAAACAAACACAACAAAAAAACGAGAAGGTTTAATAAGAATCGTTGTGGGCTCACTCGATTTCACCGACTGCGACACGACTACGCATGGCCCCAGTCCGCAGTCCTCCTCCCCTTGGCCCAGGGACGTGACCCACAGCATCACATCATTAAAGCACCACAGCCTTCGTTATGCAACGCTTGTTCAATTCCAAGTCTGATTCGAAGTCGTGGTCCGAGTCCGATTCCGATTCCGATTCCGAGCCCGACCCCGAGTCTGTGTTTGTTTTCTTGTCTTTCCCGTTGCTGTGGTGGCTCCACCGTTCAACTTTCACTTGTGCCACGCACAGTGGATGCTGCTGCGCTATAACCGATCGTTAAACGACTTCGTTTCGGCGCTTTTGTACCATATTTTCGCTTTGTGCTTTGAACCCAACACAGCACCCCAAATGAGCCCCCCGAGATACCCACTTGTCGAAATCTCGTTAATGAATTTGGACCACAGCATCTCTGGCGCATATGCAATAGGCGAACGACGGACAGCGGACAGCGGACAGAGAAGTCCGCAAGGTGCAGCGCTGGCGATGATATAAGCGGCAACGCTCTTGCCCCACTCTGCCTGGTTTTAGATCGTTTTTCGTATTCGTTTTCGTTTTCGTTTTCATTTCATTAACACGGACCGGAATCTGGAACGCTGTGTTTTTGGTCGCGTCACTGAGCCACAGAGATCTCCAGTCCCTTTGCGACACGCCGCCTTAATTGCGGTCTGGAAATACTCGTACGCTTCGGGGCAACGTGGGAAGCGCGAGCCCAAGAGATATCCAATAGATAATAATGGGGCCTGGTCTTTCTTTGTGGTATTCAGCTGATCTTGGTCAGCGATACACGGTGGCCCGTTAGGACCATTAATGTGAGAAAGTGTCGGAAAGTGCTTCGTCGGGGCAGTGGGTGGGGAAAATTTAGATCCGGTTATATTCGGACTCACCATTAGACGGTTCCTGTAGGCTGCCTTGTAGAACTCGTTGAAGAGGAAGAAGAACATGACAGCGTGCATGCCGATCCACCAGACGAACGCCTTCGGATAGTTGCAGTCAATGAATAGGAGCTGGAAGGCGTGCACCATGATCAGAATAAACTGGACCTGCAGGGAGAGAGCGGAAGAGAGAGTTATACATGTATGGATATCTATGTATGTCTATTTTAAAGCACGTACCATCTGCAAGGTGGTCAGATACTTCTTCCACCAGAGGTACTTCTGGTACTGGGGACCCATGGCCGAGAACATGTAGTAGGTGTACATCACGATGTGCACAAATGTGTTGAGCAGTCCGAAGAAGGTGCTGTGGCCGCCTGGGGGATGGCAATTGGATGGGGATTGGGTCAGCCGGAGCAGTCGATGGATTCATATCTGCGCGTACACTCACCTGGAGTGAATTTCACGCCGAACCAGACCGACATGGGCATGCAGCCGTGATGGATGACGTGAAGTGTCGTCACCTGGCTGGTCTTCTTGCGCAGCACGAAGAAAATCTGTGGCGACACAAGAAAAAAAAAACAGCAATAGCGCGTTGATTCATGAATGTCCGTCGAGCTTTAACCTGTCACTTACCGTATCCATGAACTCTGTGAATTTTGAGAAGTAGTACCACCAGCAGGCATGGACCATCTGATTCCACCAAACGAAACGAAACGAAACAGACGCAGGAAGCGAGGGAAGAAAGTTATGTATGGATTAGCATTGTTTCTTTCCCAGTTGGTACTTGTATTTGTCTCTCGGTGGTTTTTGGCATTCATGTATCTAATTTTGAGTATGCCCCTAACCATACTCCTATCCCCATGCATTGTAGAGAACTCCTCAATGGTAGTCAAGTCTCTATAGAAACGGATGGTCTCGACGGATGGCAATTTAACTCTCTTCCAAGGATAGGGATAGCGATTTTGTTTGGCATGGGGTATACAGACGTGTCGATCCAACCGACAACAGGTCTCACACGCAGCACATTCACAGCTCATTTCATTAATGATTACTTCTTCGCTACTGTTACTCGTAAAGCATATTCAACTCAAATCAAATCAAGATCAAACATTCATGCAGACTCTTCAGGGCAGACAGAGAGAGAGAGAGAAAGAGAGAGAGAGATAGAGTGAGAGATTCCATAAGATTTTAGATATACATATAAAGAAATTGTGTAGATACTTCTGCTCGAAATATCAAACGAAACAGATGGGTATTCGATTAATTAATCGTTTCGTTTGACTCCTTCGATTTATTTTAGTTGACGAGAAGTCTGGAGAATAAATCAGATCATCCTAGATCGGATAGGTTAGAGTTATATCGAAGTCTGGAGGGGGCGGGGCATTGAATCTTTTGGGTTTAGTGACAGTGGGGAAACACGTGGACAGTTATCAGTTATGTACGGCATACACATGCTACAATCTGTGGAAGTTGGCGGGGTTAGGATCTCAGTGTAGTCGGGGTTAGAATTAGTTTTACTTATATTATATAGGTATGTATGTATGTATCTAGAATGTAGTCCGTTAACCCAACCATTCCATAAAATATATTCACATTATCATTGTGTGCCATAGCAGCCAGACTCCAAAGGGGTTTGTATGTACATATGTACGAGTGTTTATGTATGTATGTATATATTTTTATGTATGATGTAATGCCCATTTTCACGCACACAAACCAAGGCGAATTTAAATAATTAGAATGCTTATCGCTACGGGTGCATGGGCAATCGCTACAGCTATCGCTATCGTTATCGTTATCATTATCGTTATCTTACGACTCGTGGTGAGGTTAACACATACCCTTAACGTTCTAGGATTATTACTATAGTCGACTGGCTGACATCGGAAGCTATAATGTCCAGTTAGCCAACCGGAAATGCCTATCTGCAAATGTAGAGCACAAAATTTCACGTTTATATCCTACGATCTGCGATCGGATGAGCCCCTCATGAGCTCAATCTTTAAGTCATTGGTGGATGGTGGATGCAATCGCAGTCGCAGTCGCAGTCGCAGTCGCTGTTGTGGTTGTGTCGCTGTCCTCCAGGGAGGGCTCTTTGCTTTTGGTTTGTTGGATTACTCACTCTGGGTATTTACACATGTGCATTGTATATCGGAGGCAGTGCGTGGGTTAGTATGAGTAAGAAATTACTTAGATAATAATATAACTTAAATAAAAAGCGCAACTACATATGATTAATCGAAGCGAAGTTATTCATTTATAGCATTTATGTATGTACAAAACAATACATTTCATTCTGTTGCTGGCACACAGACTGGTAACTGGTACTGGCACCGACAGTACGACATTAGAACGAACGAACACTCGCCAGGGGATTAGTCAAAGCCAGCGGCACAGGACAGCTGCGAGAGAGTTAAATGTGCCTTGGATGGTAACATTGTAATATTGTACACTTAGTTGCAATAAAATAATAATAATAATAATAGTAATGGAGGGTAGGAACAACGAGGCGAAGCATTGCTGGTGGTTATTAATAGATACTCCAAGAAGCGTTGGCTTTTAGTCGCTTCCTCGTAAAATGTGGTTTAATCAAAGCTATGTACTGTACTGGAATGCGGTGGATTGTCATGTATGCAGATCTATACGTAGAACGGTATGCGTGACCAACTGAGCGAATCGTGGGGTGGTGGGCCTACAGATTGTTCTGAATGGGTGGGCCAGGACTAAGCCTAAGCCCAGTATCTGTGATACTGGGAATTGTGGGAGACAGAGACTGAGACTGCACACATTTATACGCAAGAGGGGATTGGCTTTCGGGACACTTACTCTCCGGGATGTGGCACTATCTGTGTAGTCCACCGGCTGGCAGCGGAAGCTGTATGCGCCCCACCAGCCGCCCATTAAGCACTGGAACAAATAAATCAAATGCAAAAAGGAAAGGAAAGGAAAGAGAAAACAGAAAAATGTCATAAAGTAAGGCAAAATATGAACAAATTATAGCAAGCGCCAAGCATTTTCTCCATTTTCCGCTTCGTAGATGCTGCTCCGGTTCGGTTCCAGCCAACAACGACGACGACGACTACGACGACGACGACGCAATGCGATGTGGAGGATGCGGCTGTTGGGATTGTTACGGTGGGGGATGGATGGATGGTGTTTGGGGGGCGAGTACCTACCTCGTAGAATAGCCACGCGCTGAACACAACCTGTATGGCATTGTAGAGGACTAGTGTGTTCTGGAGATGCAGGGGCTTTCGATTCTCCATTAACCGCGGTCCCAGCACCTGCGAACGAGATTTTCACATAATCGATTTACAAACGAAATTGCGTATCTGCCGTGCCGATTGGCAGCCCACTTGCTCGCTTATTGTTCAGCCGCAACCAAGCGACCACGCGACCAGGTGGAACTGGCACTCCAGATTACTGCGGCCGATTAGCTGACCCAAATCCGCTGACTCAAGTGGCCTCAAGTGGACACCTGTTGAGTCGGCAGAAGGCACTCAGACTGGAGAGGGAACTCCCAGGTACCTACCTTGACCAGGTAGACGTATGTGAGGCACACAGCCAGTGTGGGAAACGGGGATGACATCATGGGCCAGTCCTTTGTCCTTGAGTCTACGAAAGGGAATAAAATGGAATTAGTAGTCAGTCCCCTGTCAATGTGCAAGTTGGCTCTTGGATGCTGTCTCTTGCACAACACCACAACAGCAAAGCAGCAAAACAATTGTTACAGGCATCTGTTAGATAAGCGCTCGCCGTGCTCTTATCATTCCCACATCCCGTCCAGCATTGGCTGCTGGACGGGCACACGTGCACACTCTTAACACTCTTAATTGCGGCCAATTCCATCGCAATCAGTGCCTGTATCTGTTTCTGTATCTGTGTCTGCAGGGTCTATGCCCTAATTTCACTTTCGAAGCACCGCTAAATGCCATAATTTTCAATTTACTTCGAGACAATTAGTTGGTCCATTTTTTAATGCAAAGATGGCCAAGATGGAGGGAATTATCATCAATTAATAACAATTGTAAACAACTATTGCGATACTGAAACTTGTGTGCTTTAATTTGACTTGTGCGTGAAATTAAACACCATCAAAAATTGCAACTTTATAATCAAAATGGGGGGAGAGTCGTGCCATCGATTTTGCCTTGGCATAACAGCGACCATTTAATGGCCTCTCTTCTATGTATTTCGAAATGAGAAATCGAATATCGCGATAAGAACTGCAGGGACACGGACTCACCTCGCCCAAAACTAGTTGTTGGTATAGTACAGTGAAAACATGCGAGAATATTATGGTATGATATATTCTCGCATGTTTCTCGCATGTCTCGTATGTACATACATACATATGTATACGGTATCTCTCATGTTATCATGTTGAATCAATATATACCCATATTAGTACAAAATATATGTATATCTCCCTGCGGCCCTCAATGGTAAAAATGTGAATGAAGTATGTGAACTTTATGGGGAGTGAGTTCCACATCAATGTGGGACTATATTCATATGTATTTACGAGTATTTGCCTCTATCCAAATACATAGATTGATATGTATGTAGTCCATTTCTACTGACCCCCCCCCGCCCAGTCTCTTCTCTGGCCAATTAGAGAGCGGGTGTCAAAAATTATTTAATCGTTTGCCAAACCTTTTGCGGGTTTTGCAGAGAACTGTGAGAACTGTCATGGAGAGTCTCAGTCGCTGTTGCTGTTGCTGCTGTTGGTTGTTGGTCAAAGCTCCCCCCAAAATCAAGGTTAGATAAATTAGCAAAGTGCCCCGTACTTACCACCATGTGAGTCCAGGTACCTGGTTACGGTGTCGATGTATTTCATAATTAAGGCCATTGTGTTACTGTGTAGTGGTTGCTGCCTACGCTAGTGCAATCCTTGTGGGTTGTGGGGGCTGTGGCTGATTGTATCCTGTGTTTGTCTTGTTCTGCGAGTTGGTCTGGTCAGAGCATTCGGTGCGGAGCGGATGCGGTGCAGGTTGGTCGAGCTGCAACAGAGACAAAACATTCATAATTTGTTATAAATAAAAATCTGCGTTGACCTAGCCATTGCCAGCACGTGATATGGCATTGCTCTCAGACCGTCTGTCGTCTGACTGTTTATTTTTAATTTCATTAACACACGTTTACATATGTATGTATGTATAAGCTAGCCTATAATTATGTAAAATAAACTATAGACAAGAGACAGCTTTACCGGAACTGATACCCATACAAATAGCTGGCCAATTTGTCCTCCTTATCAGCACACTTCGAATTCGAATATACATATGGCACAAATACTCGTATCTGTAGATACTTTAATATTCATGAGTACCTATAGAATATGCCGCACAGCAGTAGAGCTTGGCTCAGAGACAGCGGAATGGAAATGGGAATCAGAATGAGGTTAATAAACCAACAGCCAACAAAAGCTGCTCGGTCATCATTTGATCGGCACATTTACATCTTGTTTGCAGTCGGTCGATCGTTCTTGTTCTCGTTATCGTTCTCGTTCTCGTTCTCGTTGTCGATTTGGTTTGTCTTTTGTTTTGGCACTTTATTTGCGATACCGCCTTAGACTTTGGCCCCGCCCCCCCTTATCTACGACGGCCGATATCGGAGCCAAATAGGGAGGTGGCGCCAGTCATGCAGTCAGAATGAAAGTTCAAGGACAGCTAAGCGTGCACTTGGCTTAATTGGCTGCAATCTATTGTGTTCAGACCTCCCCCATTCCCCCACTCCCCCACTCTCTATGCCCATCTTCCGTTCCTTCGCACGCCTCATTACTCATACGCCTCGTGGAACGTCACACAAGTTTATCGTAAATGTTTAATAATAGAGCTCATTGGCATCTTTAAACTGATGGTGGGGCGGGGAGGGTGCTGGCGATAATTGTGCGTGTGTGTGTGTCCTTCTCGGTGCCTCTGACTGTTGGCGGACAGGACGCAGAAAAGTATTTATAATTAATGAAAGCGACAGGCCACAGGGCACAGGGCTCAGCATACTGGGCCAATAAAATGCCTCATTATTTGTTGCAGCAAGTGAGTGTTCAATAGTTTCACTCCTGCTTGTGTGTGTTCTTTGTTCTGTGGGGAGAATGCTGGTTTCTAATGCTGATCATCCCACCATTTCCACTCCGTCTGAAACTACTCAACAACCAAAGGGCAAACATAAACTACAAATGTTTGCCCATTTGATGGGCTTGGCGGTCCAAGGCAGCAAGTAAGCAAATCAAATACAAGTCCAAACACCTTTGGCAAACAACAACACGACAACGACGACAACAACAAGAAAGCAAATTAAGCCACTGCCACTACCGAAAAGCCAAATTTAAACTAACCCAAAGTCAAAGCAACGAAACAAAAAGAAGAGACATCCAAACAGACAACAGACAACAGCCAACAGCCAAAGGAAAATGCTGTCAACAGAGAGACAACACAAAATTCAATACATGAAGACGAGGGGGCAGAAAAATGGCACGAACCGAGTGAGTGGGCGGCAGAGGAGGAGGAGGAGGAGGTCTGGCAATGGCTTTGTTTCGCCCAACTCTTGAAAATCGTATGCTCACCTTCATTTAGAAGAGGGCTCGGAAAGCGATGCCAACCAGCGACTTTAAGCCGTGCCAAATATTGCTATTTCATTGACCTGATTTCGTTGTTGCTGCTGCTGCTGCTGCCGTTGGTAGTACCCATGTAAGCCCACACAAAAGCCAAGCCCATGAAGCAACAATCCACACATGAGCATGTAAGGCGACACCCCAAAACGAGACCAGCCCCAGTTCCAGCCCCAGGCCCAAACCCTAGCCCACACCAATGCCCATGCCCATTCGTGGAGCAGGCAGCAACACGCCGTTTAGCCGGCGCCACGTTGCCACACTCAAACCCGTTTACACCCCATGCACGCCCCTTACACCCTTTCACCCATACGCCCCTAGGCCCGTATACCGTCACGTGATGACGACTCTTTGGGACCCTCGATTCGATTCCATTCCGAGCCATTGCTACGGTTTCTCTTCAGCGTCCCCAGTGCTTCACTCTGCTCTTGCGCAGAGACTAGAGGCAGATTCTTGAATGAAAAACGCGACCAAGAGAGCAAACCCTCCGTGCCACGAGCCACAAGCGACGAGCTCCGTCGGACTCGCGTGACTCACTCGACGCACCCCCCAAAGGCTCGCCCTGGCACCAGCCCGAAAACTGAAGCACAATATACTAAAAAAGCAAGAGAAAACCAGTCGGGGGGGAAATCGAGTTTAATACTCGCCCCCACGCCATGAATGAACCCGAAAAGCCGATTGGCTTCTCCCTGTAGTTGTAACTGTACATCTGTACATACATATGTATGTATGTACATACCCTTGTACATGGTTGCCATTCTACTTTGTGGTTTTGATGTCTTTGTGGCAGCTATTATGTCAGCCAGGTGAGGGTATACCCCAGGTGGGGATCATCATCAACCTCATCAATTCGTGCCAGGTAGAAGGTGTGACGTGCGTGAATGAGTTTGGGGCTGACCCTCTCCATTTCCCGTTTCCATTTCTAATTGCTAATGATTTTTACTTTCCGTGAATTGTAGCGTCTTAAATTTTGTGGTGTCCACAAAAGTAAGTGGGATTTCAGATGAGGCAACGGCAAGGCAACCTTTTGCTTGGGAAACAATGAGTGGAGGCAGGAGTGGCGTTGGGACGCATAAGGAAATCGTTTGCGGATGCCACTGATCAAGAGAGCTCTTGGCAGCCGCTTAAGCCAATATAAACAAACTTTGACATTTTGTCCAGCAGCTGTGGCGTGGACATGCACCGAGCAACGACGGGTCATCGCAAATGCCACATGAAATTATTGTGAGTTATTTGGCTTTTGTCCCAGCCACAGCCACATACTAATTCGTATTCCGCTTCCCAGCTTCCCCAGCAACATAAATTAGCATTCCAGTAAAAGGTTCAATCACTTCCACGGAGAGAAACCCAAAACGGGTTGACTCAAATGCGATAATTAATTCATAATTAGTTCGATGTAAATTGCGAAAGTTGGGTCAATTTGTTGTGCATACGGTTATAGAGTGGAATATACCGAAAAAGTTGCTACCAACATTAAGGAGAAACTGTGTCAGACTAGGGGAGTAGGTCTGAGGAGCTGCGACGCGGAGCAGCACAAGCGAGAACATCCTGAGCAACACACAACCAACAAATTGCAATTTACTGAGCACATCCTCCAGCTTGTGATCCTTTCGCCTGTCTGTGCTTTTCTGATGTGCAATGTGACGGGAATTTACCTTGATTCGGAGTGGCTGCACTTTTATGGGGCACAGGACTGCGGTCGGCGGTCAGCGGACAGCGGATGGCCGATATTGGCCGAATATTTGCTTGTGGCGCTCCTCTGGGGCCCGTGGATGCACTGGGGAACGGCGCGTCGGGAATGTTGTAATATTTATTGGGGCGATTGTTGTGGGGAACGTCGGCACACACTCCACTCATGGGCTCTGGTTCTTATCACTTTGTTGCAGGCTGCATCCGAGTCCTGTTAAACACTGCCCAATTCGGGCGGAACGGTGGGACGTGGCCCTGTTTCGGCCGCGCGCTAAAGCGGATTCGGTACCGGGAGACACAGAGAGAGAAACACAAAACCGTCAACAACGACTAGCGGAGCACGACTAACTTGGCAGGGATGTCGGAGATATATTGATATATCGCCAGAGCAACCGACTTAACACAAGACACAATTTCTGTTGTTTCGCTGGCCGCGGCCGAGAAAGTATTGAAATTTTAAAGCCACATGCCCAGTCCCCATACCCCAGTGGCGTGCTGTCGCCGCTGGCGTCGCTGTCATCGCTGGCGTCGCTGCCAGTTGCGCGAAATCGAGTAGTGTGCTCTCTTCTGCTCTCGCTTGACAATAAGAGTTGAGATTTAATTGTTTAGATGCATTGCAATGGTGCGAAATAAGAATAAGTCTTACACTTTAGTTGTGGGCTTTCACTGAGTTCAGAGTGTGACTGCGATTTCGCTTTACATCCGAAATAATAAGAATCCCGAAGCTCACTCAATGGGAGAGATGTGCGTGAAGCTAGCACCAGAGAAAACAAAGCCGAGAGAGAGAGAGAGCAAATCATGAAGTCGCAGCTGGCAGAGTCGGGCATTCGACGCTGGCATTGGCGTTGGCGTTGGCTTTGGCGGTGACTTTAAATTCAGCTTCAGCCCTAGCGGCGTTGGCGCTGTCGCTGGCGTCGCCCGGTTACGAATTAATAATATAAATTTCTCTGCATACGTTTATATTGTGATTGGTGGTCGAAAGGGGACTTTGACGGTGTGGATGCCCGATTTGGGTATTTCGTGGGTCTTGATTTGGCCTATTCACAGCTCAAGATGGACCGTTCCCCGCCCACCAGCTCGGCACCACTCCCTTGATTTGCTTTGGGTTGCGTTGGGAAATCTGTCTCGGAGTGGACCAGTCCAGCCGAAAACAAGAAAGAAAGGCCGTGCTAGTTTTAGGTCTAGTATGGCCTAAAGAAACATTGGCTGAAACATTCGAGTATGATGCTGCAAATGCGCTGTTGGTTGGCCGAAGGGTAGAAGATTCTCTCTTCTCTGTGTCACAAAACTGCTCCTAAAGTCAGCATACTCTATCTTTCTCTCTTTCGGCATAATAACAACCACAACAGGTGAATAGGCTTTCGACGCTGCTGTAACTGCCCTGCCTCTGACTTGTGAGTGGTGTAAGGGCCCGGGCCCGGGCCCGGGCCCAGCGTCATGATCATGATCGATTTCGGAGGCAGGTGATGCCCCGCATACCAAATCGAGTCCCCGCACTTGTCGATCAATTAATTATTACGGCATTTCACACACACACACACTCACACACACTATATGTATATATGTACATGCATACACGCAAGCACAGCTCTTGGGTTTTTTTCACGTCCATCAGGTTTTCTTTTCACGTTTCTCTTTGACCGTTGATGGTTTTGGTTTTGGGACTTTTGCATTCAATATCGAATTCATGGTCAAGCCGTTTCCGAATGTGTGTCGCCAAAAGGAAGCCCTCCCCCCACCACTCCCCATGGCCCACCAAGAGCCAAACAAGCCAACAGGTTGACCTGACGAAATGGAGCTGGAAACGCGTTTGGACGCGTCTTGACGCAACATCTAATGCGGCTTTTGTTGTCTGTTGATGGTTGAATTGGTGTTTAGTTATTGGGTCTCCAACCCCCTACCATTCCCCTCCGCACCTTCCGCGTCGAAGAATGCCATTCCTGAACTCATACGCGATTTTATTAGCGCAGCAGCATAATGCGGCAGCTGCAGCCCGTTTCTCTGTGCCGGCGGAATGCATTCAAATCTAAATTTCTGGAGGTGGCGGCGCTGGGGTCACATTTCCGCCAAACAAATTGAATCCAGGCTGAGGGCCAAGCGATTACTTGTTGAGGGGTCAGGTCGGGCGCCAGCACCTGAGGCCCTCTCTTTGGCGCTCGCTCTTTGCCAGCCAACAAAGAGAGCATCTCTGCATCGGTGATGGAGAGAAGCACAAGCAGAGCAAAGGGCATGCAAAGATAAAGAGAAAGAGAGAGAGAGAGAGAGTTCTTTCTTTCGAGTTGGTTGATGCGAGTGGAATATCTTGGAATTATGTCATACATATCATTACACACACAGGCGTTACAACTACAGCTACAGCTACAGCTACAGCTAGAGCTAGAGCTACGTGAGGCCCCGTATGTGTGTCCGCGTCCCCTTCTAATCAGTTCATATCACTCTTGATTAATCGGCTGACCCCATCCGTCGGTGAGGGGGAAGGGGAAAGGTAATGAAACTGATAATTGCAGGTGCCAGAACCTAGTGCCCAGAGCACAGAGCACCGGACTGAGACACAGCACCCAGGGAGGCAGAAAGAAAGAAATTCAAAGAGACAGAGAGAGAGGGAGAGAGAGAGTGTAGTTTTTAATGCACTTGTGTCAATTAATGTTGAAAAGCTGTGAAAGGGCGGGGGCACCGGGCACCGACCGGACTAATTGAATCAGCCGGACCCGCAGCCCGATTGGGGAGGGAAGGGGAGGGAGGACAGCATTATGATTCCGCTTGACATTGCTTGATTTATCGAGTGGAATAGATAGATACAATAAACAACGTTTAGCATTTGTTAATGTATTTTGTGGTGGCGCGGGGAGCACTTTCCGAGGCGGAAACCGACACTTGAACTGCCGTCTGTTACGTGGGTATCCGTCAGATTCAGATACGTATGTAACTACGTACATACATATGTACATATGTATATGTATATACTACGCGTATCTAACTAACCCACTAATCGTACCATGCTAACGTGCGACCGACGCGACACTCTTCGAGCTATTCTGTTCAAGCCACTTAAAAGTTGAAATCAAAAACGAAAAATTAAAAATCCAAAAAACTGCAACTGGAATTGGAACTGAAATAAAAACACTTTACTTTGGATTCGTGGATCTGTATGTGGCTGTATCTCGGGGCAGCGGCCTAGGAATTTTTGTGTGTGGAAATCGCTCTGGCCTGACCCAAAAAGCGAACCGGACGAGACACAACTCAAAGCGAAAAGCGAAATTCAAACTGCGGCCGGAGAATCAGGCGAAGAGCGACCGAACCCCCAAAGGCCGTCCACATGCCGCTGCAAGAGAGCTGAGAGCGCATAGCGTAGGGACCGAGAGAGGAGTCGCAGCTGTGGAAGAGCGCGAGACTGGCTGTGTATCTGTATCTGGTGGATGGCTGGCGGATGGCAAGAAGCAGACACTGCCACCGCATGGCAAATGGCAAGAGGTGTAAGAAGAAGCACTGATCGCGGGGGGGGGGGGCAGTATGCTATACGTTGAACGTTGCGTCACGCGCACACCAAATAGCCCACCAGCCCCAGCAGCAGCACCAACACCAACACCAACAAGAATGCCAGCGCACACAAGAGTCACAGATATACAATCAGAAGACGGTGCCGCGCGCTCTCTGTATCTGCCAGATACATTCGGCGTGCCGCTGCCTTGTAGCGCCAAGAGGCCGGCTGCTCTTCAATGCTGCTGCTGCTCTCTGAGTGTCTCTCTGTCTCTTTGTCTCGCTCACGGTCCCTGCGTTCTCTTTGGCCGAGGCAGGCAGGCTGCGTGTATCCGTTAAATACGATACGAGGGTTGTCACCGCTTCGTTTCGGGCCAACAGCCAACAGCCGACCGAATCGCACATGACGCCAAATAAGTGACAGACACTCGAGTGCGAGTGGAGCCCGAAAAGAACAACTCGTAGTTACATATGTATGTAACACAACCACAACCGACGGGCATTATGTCATCGAGGGAGTCGAGTCAGTCGCCAGCAGAAGAGAAGCCATTCGTGAATCTCTCTTTCTCCCTCTCTTTCCGTTTCTCTTTTAGTCGATTGTTGTTTGTTTTGGATTTCATTGTTGTTCTTCACACCGTTCGTGTTCTTATGCTCCCAATTTGTCCCAAAGCCACCCCTTGGTGACCACACACACACAAGGCTGTACGTTGGCTTTGGTTATTCCTTCTGAGTGCGCTTGGGATATGGCGAACTCTGTACGCTCAGGATATGCTGTTTACTGTGTCCGTCACTCATGTAAGGAATGGGACAGAATGACAGCCAGTTGTGTTGTGGGTGTGGGAGGGTATTCGCTATTCGATATTACCCATTCGGTCAGCATTCAAATGACAAACTTATGTACATATGTATGTACAAGGTATCTTACAGTCGTGATATTAACATTGAAGCTCTTTCTTTGTTGTGTGTTTTCTGTTCGGTTGGTTTCCTTGCTCCTCTTGTTGCTGCTCTTTTCTGCGGAAATGAACCGGAAAAGACGTTACCCTTTCAGAGATACCTCGCGTTACGTTTCTAAACCTGCCGACCTCGTTGACAAAAAAGAGCAGCTCGAAATGGCTAAGCTATTGCAAAAGTTGTGTGTTTGGGTTTTTTGGGTGATTGAAGATAAGGAAATTGTGATAGTACTGACAGCATTGTATATTTGTAGGTTGATTTCGGTATTAGATATGTATTTGTTTAAAATTTGCAATAAAATAATAATTATTATTAATAATGGTTTTGGTGTTACAATTTAAGATACAATTACTTTGAGTTTCATTGAAAAATTGTATAAATCCGATTATAAAAGATAAGACTATCCAAAATCGATCCTTTTGAATTTCCAAATCAGTAATTTGCACCGGTTTCACTTTGTGAATGAAATTTCCCCATGCCATATTCCATCGCAAGATATTGAATTTACAAATCAACCATCCAATCCAGTTGATTGCGCACTCAACTTGTCAGCTTAAAGGTCCCCCACACAGAAAGACATAATTTGTGGAGATGCTTTCATCTCTTCGCCCCGTCTCGCATCACTTTTGATCGGATGGTATGGCATCCGATGGCATATCGGCATGGCATTGCATCGCCAAAGGCTAAACATATCGACACATCAATGGAGAGAGAGAGACCGACCTGTCCTAACAAAACATAACAAAACCATTTCAAATAACCAATTAATATTGCATTATTGCGCAACAGAAGTGAGCAATAAATAAATAAAAATAAAAGTCGACGCCAGCCGTCGACCATACCGCACTTTTGAAGGCAAACAAAATGGAGCCAGCAGCAGCAGCAGAAGAAGAGGCCCCGCAGCGCCACAAGAAGACGACAACGAATCGAATAGATTCCAATCGATACGATACGCATGCGCAAAAGCTTTGATGGCGACAGCCACGACAACGACAATGCGACGATTTCGTAAGTCGAACAAAATACGTAGTGGTTGGTGGGCGTGGCACGGCCCAGTGCGCACCGACTGCGACTTGTACTGGCCCGTTGCCAAAATTCTTTGGGGCTTTGGCATGACAATGTCAAAATGGAACGTGTCAGGCTTCACGACATGCTACGACGCTCCCACTTACCAGCTCCCAGCTAAGAGTACCAAGCTCCAAGACCCGCTTCGGGAGCCCTTGTGTCATCGCGAAACGCTAACGGTTTATCAACCACAAAGAAAGACACCAATTTACATCTCACCTTGGGGCCGCCTGCATCGCCGGATCCCCCAGCAGAGCTCTCCGCAGCTCTGCCTCGAGCCGTGTGAGGGGGCTCTGGGGCTATAACGCTCACACTGACTGAGTGTGTGAGCTTGTGTGGCAGTGTGCCGGCGCATATAAATCGATTAATAAGTTTCGTAAATGAAATGCCATTATCAACAGCAGCAGAAGCAGCAGCACTGCGTTGCCACAGTCAAGCAACAGTACAAGTAACGGCGACAGCAACGACGACAACAGCAATCAATACCGGAGATTGCATTGCCGCCTGCTCCGACTCCGACTCCGACTCCATCTGTAGATTCAGCTGTTGCCCCAGCATCATCATTCGCAGCGGCGGCAATTAAAATAAGCTTATACGAGTGGCAGAGCTGCTGCTGAATTTAATTAACAAATGAGAGCCACAATGCTCGCCTTGCACAATGGTGGGCGGCTGCGCAATTAAGTAATCAGCCTTATCATCATAGTCCTAATGAGACACATACCGGACAGCGTCGCGTACTCTGCGCACTGCGCATTCCTTCCTCAAATGGATTCGACCTGGGCCTGCCAAAGATCATCTACATTCTGCGCATGCTCCACGGCCACCTCGTCCCCACCACGAAGCGAAGCACGGACCAGGTCAGGCCCAAGTAATTGAGTCAAGGGCGCGGGCGCTGTTGACAGTCACACGTTTTAAACAACCCAGACACGTAGGGAATTTTAATTTGGTAAAGCCAACCCATCCACCGACCATCGACCACCGACCACCTACCGCCCCAGATCTAGACATGCAGCTTGGAGGCTCTATTAGAACTTTTGATTCAAACGAATTCCCATGTCAAGTAGTTCCCGTAGTTAAAGCACTTCCTGACCTTAAATCACACACTTTCACAACTTTCACTCTCACCAACAGGTTGAAACTCTCACATGTGGACATGCCACAGCCATAGCCACCCGATGGTGGGATCTGGTTATTATAGTAGAGTGGAGGCCGAGTGGTTCTCTACGGATATTACCGCTCTAGCCGATCGTACTGGCACTCTACTGACTATAAAAAAAACGAGAAGGGACGTGTGAGACGCTTCTTACGCGTCACAACTTTTATACCCGGCACTCAGTACTACATCTGCACCTTAGCGGTGTTTTGTCAAATTTTAAATTTTTTCTTCATCTGTCATCTAAATCTACTACACTTCTCACACCAACACGCTCCTTTAGCTCGCCGCCCTTCCCTAGAAACACACACTGCAGACTTGCGGCAGAGGCAGAGGCAGAGGCAGAGGCCCCCACACAAAAAAAAAACAACTATAAGCTGCGGGACGGGTTGGGTTAAAAGTCAGCAGAGGCAGAGGCAGAGGGACGGCAGGGGCAGAGGTAGAGTGAAGCAGAAGCAGAGTGTAAATGAGAGAATGACAGCCACTGGAAATTAATTTCTTCATTGTGGCTATAATAATGATCCAATCGGATCCCGGTTTTCTGTTATCTTTAAAACTGTAGACTTGGGAGGTTTTCGGCCTTTTGCGGGGGCGGAAGGGGCGGGGCTAATTTTTGAAATACACTGGTTTTAGTGTGAGCATACAGCAGTCTAGAGCCAAAATTTGGTGGCTCTAGCTCTTATAGTCTCTGAGAATTAGCCGACAAACAAGACGGACGGACGGACAGACGGACATACAGACATGGCTCGATCGACTCGGCTATTGATGCTGATCAAGAATATATATACTTTATGGGGTCGGAAACGTTTCCCTCTGTGCGTTACATTCAACCGTTATTCACACAAATACAATATACCCTATTTACTCTTCGAGTACCGGGTATAATTAAATATGCCGCGAAGAGACTGAAAACCAAAAGCCAAAACCAAACAGCCGACGCCAAAGACAATGGCAGCGACAAAAAGAAATCTATTTAAATTGGACCCGGGCTGGTCTGACGCTGCCTCTTGCGGTTAGTGGAGGGGAGGGCACTGGCACTGCCACTGGCGCTGGCACTTGAGCCATTGCACAATGGACAGCTCATCGCAATAGACAATGCCTAGAGCCACCTTTCAAATTGAAGGCTTAGTTAACTAATGTGTGGTAATGATAATGATTAAGCTTGGCAAATACCCCAAATGCCAAATATCCGTCGTGTTGGTCTGGGACTACGACTGGTACTCGGAATGGGACTCCGCTTGGGCCAACTCAACCAAAAGTGACAGCCCACCGATGGATGGCCGATGGCCCAGTGGAGTCTCGATTGCGGCCCTGACTATGACTTTCTCGGGGCCCTTTTGCCGCCGGTCACACACTTCACAAGTCTACGGGCAATAAAGCTGGCGGGTCGGGACGGGACGGGACGGCCCTCGCAATTGGCCGCAATAAAAAGTTGAACCATCAAATATGATTCGGAACGGGTTCTAGACCCTGAGAAACGCGTGAAATTTGCCTAAAGGGTACGCTCAACGGTAATGAGATGATCATCTGGCATTATACCCTCAGATCAGTGTCCACGTCCGCTGCCACGCCCAGTCGAATGGGTTGGCGACGCGGATGTAGATGGTAATGGTAATGGTAATAGTAATGGTAATGGTAATGGTGCGACGACAGCCACAGCCAACACCTGGAGGCTGGAAATAAAATTAAGTCAAGCGTTACAATTCCGCAATTGCCAAGCAAACACAAAAGGTTTACGGAAAATAATCAAAAAAATACCCGAACCCCCCGTAGTACCACCCGTTCGCTAGTATCGCGTTAACGGGTTAGGTTGGGCCACTTAACCTTTCACAGATCCGTTGCAGCGGTGCACGTGCAACGCCCACCAAGTGAAGTACCTCGCCATTGAGGAGGAAATTTGCATGAGAATTGTGCGACGCAACGTCGATGGGAATGGGAATCTTCCGATTCACGTTAGAGCCGCGATCTTCGGCTAGAACGGGGAGTATGGGACTCCCCTTCCTAACCACTTTATTTGCTCCACACAATCGAGCCCACAATCAGCTATTTCGAGAGTGCTACGGAGGGCCCCTCCCCAGACGGAGATCTGTGCTTGGCCCTCTCTAATGGATGAGTGTGAGAATGTGATCGAAAGTTGATCTCGCCGTGGGCCACACATGGCGCAATTTGTAGCTTATTTACCTCAAACAACAGACAATGGATAAACAAAGTTCATCTTTGGGGTCCGTTGAGCCGAAGCACTCGAGATTTTCCAAGGCAAATATTTGGCCAGCGAACAGCCGAACATTCGAACTGAACGGATGAACATTTGATCATTTGAACATTCGAACATCCGACTTCGACACCGATCCAAACTAACAGAAAGTTAAATATTGGAAAGCTTGTCTAATGAGAGGGAAAGGAAAGAGTTTTGCTTGCGATGCACTTTGGCATCGAGGCGATTACGGAAGGGGAATCATTGGACGTGTTAATTAAGATAGAAGCAGAAATTAAAAAAACAACAGGCGGGTTGTTAATCAACTGACATGTTCATAGCTGGGCGGGTATTCCAGTAATCGTAGCTTTCCACAGAACGAACCATCGATGCATCAATTAGTTGCTATAAAAGTGCCTTTTCATGATGGAATGCCTTGGGTAATTGCACAACTGCGAGGCATCTAAGGTGCTTAAACAAATGCCAGATGCAAGCATTAAGCATCGATTACACGGAATTTCAGGGTGGAATGAATTACATTAATATCTCCTCCTGGTAGCTACTAAGCTACTGTCTAATCTCTTGCAACTTTGGCAGAAGGGAACGTGCCTCAGCTATGCTGTTGCTACTGATATTGCTGCTGCGACAAGTGTTTCATGCCAATTAAAATTGTTGAACAGTGGCGAACCGAGGCCGGCTCTTGGGCACATTTCTCACCTCATCCGTCCCAAGGCTGCCCCGCTAATAGCCACTAATCTCTGTGCAAACCCCCAAACCCCACCACCATCGCCGACGACCTATATAGCCACATGTGCGTGTGCTCCTCTCGAGGCCCATAGACCTCAAATGAGCATTCGAGATAGTCGGCCTGGCTGGGGCAGGCCCTGGCTGGGGCCAAGACAATGTCTAGTGGGGAAGAGTGTTGAAGAGTGGCGATGGCATGCGGGGAATGGGGGGAATGTATCTTTTTGGGGCTGTTTCTTTGTGCTGCTGCTGCTGCTGGCATTGTTGCTGCCTTTTGACAACTCAATCAACGTCGCAAGGTGGTTCAGAGCCATCTCCAGCCATCTACAGCACCACCTCCACTTCCATTTCCATTTCCATCTTCTGACGCATTTCAATGTCAAAATCCTCAGGGGGGAAGTCGGGGCTTTTTGACAGCTTTATAGCGACAGTAAAGCGTAAAGCGTCGACGCAAACGACCAAAAAATACGCATTAAAAAGAAGGAACTCAAAGTGCGCTGTACAATTGCAAAAGTACAATACAAACAGATACAATTGTCTTTTGTTTTGGCCACATTAGTCACTAATTTGAGGCAGATCTGATCGTTTTTATGACGAGCGCTCGCAGCCTTCGGGGTTACTTTCAGCTCGGGCTGGGCTTGTGTCCTCCTTCCTCCCTATCTTCTGGTTGCTTCCGGAGTAGCAGCTCGGTCCAGGTGGAAATTACAATTTGGAAAATCGCTTTAATGCCACGTGAAGGCAGTTCCAAGTGGAAATAATCGGGGCGTGAAGAAAAGCTACCCCTTCTGGGCTTAGTTCTGGTATCACGTGTATGCACATATGTATATCATAATCGCTGATTACCTCAACGCATTTTCAGGTTACGATGCAGATGGGAAAAGTGTTCGGTATCGCATGGGCCCTGAGATCCGGTGGTGCCCTTAACTCCTAATGGAAATCACAAAACTTGCAGACACATATTGAGAGTGAAGAGTCGCCGCACCATGGCAAACCTGAACCCAAACTCGAAGCGTTTATGGAACATTTTGTAATGATCTATTTTGTTGCATTTCCCGCTACTCTCTTTGGTTGTTGTTGTTGTTGACCGTCGCACTAATTACGGCAATTAACAGACAAGATCTGTAGTCAGCTTTACACACACTGACACACTGATGTGATTTGCTTTTGTAGAAGTATTTCTTTGCATTTAACCCCCATTGAGTGTCTTTCGGGCAGCTTGCGGCGGTTTGTTGTGTTTTGTGTTACACTCTGCAGGTCAGTACGAATAAGTGGGGAAGATTAAGAAGAAAATAAAAAACGAGAAGGGACGTGTGAGACGCTTCTTACGCGTCACAACTTTTATACCCGGCACTCAGTACTACTTCTGCACCTTAGCGGTGTTTTGTCAAATTTTAAATTTTTTCTTCATCTTCATCTGTCACTTCTCACACCAACACGCTCCTTTAGCTCGCCGCCCTTTCCTAGACACACACACTGCAGACTTACGGCAGAGGCAGAGGCAGCGCCCCCACACAAAAAAAAACAACTATAAGCTGCGGGACGGGGTGGGTTAAAAGTCAGCAGAGGCAGAGGCAGAGGGACGGCAGGGGCAGAGGCAGAGTGAAGCAGAAGCAGACTGTGAATGAGAGAATGTAAACAGAACAACAAAAGCTGCGGGACAGGGTGGGTTTAGCCACTGGAAATTAATTTCTTCATTGTGGCTACAATAATGATCCAATCGGATCCCAATTTGGTGATCTGATAGATATGGCCATTCCCTACGGATTGGCGTTTTTAGTTTTCTTTTATCTTCAAAGATAGTAGAAGATAGTGGGTGGTTTTCGCCCTT